ACTGTCCCAAGACCAATGTCCCAAGACCAATGTCCCAAGACCACTGTCCCAAGGCCAATGTCCCAAGACCACTGTCCCAAGACTACTGTCCCAAGACCAATGTCCCAAGACCACTGTCCCAAGACCAACGTCCCAAGACCAATGTCCCAAGACTGTTTCGTACCAAGACTGCTCTGGTCCAAGACTGTCCCAAGGCTGCACTGTCCCAAGACTATCCCAAGACTGCTCTGTCCCGTGACTGTCCCAAGACCGTGTTGCTCCAAGACTGTCCCCAGACTGCAATGTCCCAAGACTTCTTCGGTACTGTCCCAAGACTCGTCACTGAGTGTCTGGATATCGGGTCTCTTCTTCTTCGTTGTAGGGACTATTGAACCACTGTACCTTTTACCACCACTTGAGCTCTAGTAAAAAATTTCCCAAAATCCCTATCTTAATGGTCAAAACCCAAATTCTAATCCCCCTGTATTTGCCTCTATCTCTATGTTTCAGGCTATTTGAAACCCTAAATTCCCCGCAGGTATCTTATGATCACCTGTTCGCTAAAACACCAACAAAAAATTTTCACCAATAAATAAAACTGGAAAAATTTCAAAAACAGATAGATGAATTCCCCTGAAATTCAAGGTTGACCGATGTCAATCTTTGTCCGAAAAAAAAAGGCTGGTACCCGATTGCCACGCGTTTTCCTCCCCCCTGCTAGCGATCTTATGGGGTATCTCAAAAACTGTCTATGTTCGTTCCCCCCTACCGATCCGAACAGGGTTACCTACCTTAACCTGATTTTAATTTTGGATATCCGCTTCTTATAACCAACGCGTGTAAATATCTAGTGTAACTAAATCGACGATACCGAACAATTAGTTACTCTAACGTGTCCCCCCTTTTTACAATTTACAACCGCTAACCTCTAACCTAACCAGCCCCCCTGAATCTGGTCTTTGGAGATAATAATGGCTTAAATGGGGTCATTAGTGCTGTCAACTGCGCGTAGTGTGACACTTGGTTGACGAGTCCAAACCAAGCACGTATGTCAGAGATGTTTGTAGGTCGCCGAAAATTCTTTATGGCGTCCAGATACTTTGGCAGTGGTTTCACATCGTCATCTGTAAAAAGGAAGCCGGCAAATTCAACGACACGCTCGCAAAACTGGAACTTCTTTGGATTTATGATGATTCCGCTGTTACCAAATAGCGTCAGATAGTCAATAACTCTCCAACAATGTACTTTCAGCAACTCGTCCCATAATAGTGCGTCGTCCACGCATTTAGTCTTCCTGGGGATGGAGGCTATAATATTGTCATACCGTTGGTTATAGCCATCCCCCGAGGCCAGGTAACCTTGAGGTGCCACTTTGTATCGGTATCTGCCGTATTCCGTGATAAAGGTAGTAAGATGCCGCTCCTCCTCAGCGAGTGGAACTGAGTGGTAGCCATTCCAGGCATCAGTCTCAGTTCTCCATGTGCCCGCCGGTATGTAACAGTCGCCTACTTCGGTCACATATGAGGCTTAAGAAAAATAGGCCCTATAACCATTGGCTCAAGAGTCAGGGACACTATCTCTTGTGTTTTTCTACCTCAAAATGGTCGGAGCCAATTCGGTTCGCTTGCGACATGAGACTAGAACCCGTTACAGCTTAAAGGCTACTACCAAAATATCCCCCCACTCTATAAAATAAGAACGTCCCCATACTTAGGTCTCAAAATACACAAAATACACGAACGCCGTTAAAAACAGGGTCGGAACAATCCGTTAAGTTACTTTTTATTGGACAGTGGAACTTTGATCCATTTCAGATGGATCAACCTAAAAATCGCCTTATCTCAACATAACAATCATAAAACACGCTCGAGAAAATTAAATTAGGGACTCACATGTTGATGCACTCGAGTACAAGGAGTAATCAAATTGATAAGCAACTCGAGAATTGGATAATATAACTAGATAAGTTCAATACTAATCAGTTTTGATAACAGAAGTAAATTCTGACTCTAGAATTGAGTTTTTGTATGAACCATTGGGACACTCAAGCTGTCCACCTTTCCATTGAAGGCTCACTCTGGTTCGTTTCGAATAGTTGTTCTCTCTTCTTTTGATTATCTCTCCTCCTATTTCAGGATGAGACAGCTCTACTCGTGTCTTATTTTGTAGCTGGAAATTGCGAATAGCAGTTTCCTGCTGTTTTCTTAAGTATTTTCCCGCAATTGTAAATTCGGTCGTTCTGATTTTTCACTTTGTGTTTTCAGTTGGTGCGAGAAAACTGAGCATGACAGGCTCCATTCGAAATTTTGAAAATAAAAACTTCACTCCAAAATTACGTATTTTCGTGTCCCTCAAGGTCAAACTTCCAGATATGACCAACTGGCACAGTATGATGCGTGCTTGTTTGTATGGAGGAACAATGTGCTGTGTCTCCCTGACGCAGTGGGTGTTTAGTGGGCGCATGTCCACAGTGCGACGTGGCGTGCCGTCCTGTTTCGGCACGACGTGCATTCGTGCTTGCCATTTTGTAGGCACTCCCGGAGGAACCTTCTGGATTACGCCCAGAGCCTCGAGCTGGGCTTTAACCTGCTCACGCCAATGCATGGGCACGGTAGCTGCCATATACACAGCGACGGGGTAGCGTTTGGATCCACGCTGATTTTATTTGGGTCACCAGACATGAGTGGCAGTGGCTGGTGAGGGCATTTATTGAATGCAGACGCTGCGAATGTTTTGAGAAGCCATTCTTTCATCTTCGGGATATTTTCCGGGACCGGAGCAAACGGGAGTTTCCCAGGGCGGCCCTGTGGGTGGCGGTGAACTTGGCAGCCACAAGGGGCAATACCAGATGTGCGTTGCGCTTCTATTCCAGTGGAAGCAGTGGAGCAGATAACGGGAAAACTGTCGTTGATAAAACCCAGTTCCTTCATGGCTTGGCGACTTAGGTAGAACAGGTCAGTAGACTCTGTCACATATACCATGGCCGCAGTTGTAGCCTTCCGGCCTGTGGACGGTTTCGTGCCAGATAAACGCAGGAATAGGGCACCCAGAAAATCGATGTTTTCCCCATTGATGGCGTGCATTCACTGCTTGACCTAGACGAGGTCGGATGTACTTAAGCCGAGACGATCTAACACCTTTTTACCCATAAGACATGACTGGGCGCCTGTATCGGCCACAATCGACAGTTGTAGGCGACATGTTGGGGTGCTTTAGGCCTAAGTGGCTGTAATCTGACGCGTCAATAGAGACACGCAACTTAACAATTGGATGTGGCATCGATGCTGCCTGTTTCCAACCGGATGTGCCGTCGAATATGTAGTTTAGGACAACTATCGTCTGTTGTGCCCACGTATGATCAACACCAGCGGCTGTTACAGGATGCGCCCATATCGGACTTTTGTCTTCACTGACCGCGACGCCAATAATGTGGGAGAAAGCGCCCGCCTCCATGTCTGACGACCCATCGAGGAGGGTAGATTTTAATACTCATGATGCATTAATATCGACTTGATTTATTCATAACATTTTGCCGATGTATTTATATAGCGTTGGTACGACCCTATCGAACTTGTGCACGTACCGTCGCATGACGGAAGGGTCCATTTTAATTGAAAATGGAGTGGAACTTTGTATTCGGGTGTATTTTAGTTTCTTTTGTTCGTTCCACTGAAAGTGGGGTTATAATTTGTCTTGAGTGTGTTTTAGGTTTTGTTTTTTTCTTTGAAAGTAAGGAGAAACTTCGTCTTCAGGTGTGTTTTACTTTTTTGTTCTTTTTCCCTGAAAGTGGCAATGAACTTCGTCATCGGATGTGTTTTAGTTCTCTTTTTTTTTCTTACTTGTTTTTTCAATTTGAACATAGAAAAAGACTGAAAAATACGTCAATGGACAGCTGCGCAGCAAATACGGGGACACATTTATTCGTGGTAACAATGTTTTGTACATCAGTACTACAAAGCGAAGATGAGAGGAGATACGTAAACGTATAAATTTATTTTATTTTTGGCTTACCCTTGCTTTATTTGAAGATTAAAAATTTATTGTGTTTTTAGACGTGTTTTGTCAAACTATGGTCCGAAGATTCTGTGCTACTTGATTAGTAACTGGCTACCCTTGTTTCTTTTTGTTTTTTTTAGCTCGTTAGTCCTCAAATTTTTCGTTTTTTGTTTTATCGAGTAAGTGAGCTAATTTGCATTTTTTCAAGAAAATTATATTTTTTATGCTCTAGTGTGTTAACGGAGGGGGCAGCGTAAAAATTTAGGTTTTCACAATTTTCCGAAGATTTTCAAAAGGAAACAATTTTGCTCGACGGGAGTCTAAGTAACTTTTGTTGGCTCAGTTGCTGCTCATTTATTATGTCCGAATTCCTTTTAAGCGCTTGTTATTGTGTTTGTAGACGTGTTTTGTCTCACTGAACATCATTCCGGACAAATTTCTGAATTTTTGTAGGTGCTGTTTGGAAATGTTTTAATTTTTTGGACTTAGTGGCTTTTGTATTTTCTATCTGCTAGCCTGCAATGCTGTATCTGTGTGTTATCGCAATTAATGAGATGCTCTGCGTCGTCTTTGTTTTTGAGTTTTTTCACATTGAAGGGTTTCTGCTAAGGTAATTTCTGCTTTGTTACCGCTTGATAAATTTTCTATCGATGATTTTTTACATTAGATTGTTTTGGCCACGTTTTTTTTGCAATACTAACCTTATTCATTTCGATAGATTTAATTTCCGAATTTTTCTTAATTGGCTGAAAACGAATGGCGCAATTTGGCTGAGTTTGGCAAATTTCCGAAGTTTGGCTGAAACGAAGGGCTCAATTCAACATAAAGTCTACCTTGTTTCGCTCTGAAATACATGAAAAGACGAAAAGTTTGATCTAAGTGCGTTCTGAAAAGTACGGTTGAAATCAAGATTTCCTTTTTCTACAAGTGCTATGAAAAACCATTTATCGTTCATGGAATTGTGCGCATTATAAGCGTTGATTTGTTGCCTGTTTTAACCTTGAAAACAGTCCCTGATTTTTTTCAGATTTTCTTGCCTTGCCTCGATTCAGCAATGATCCAAACTGTAAGAAGCTTGAGTTATATTTTATTTTGTCTTTACTGATTTAGTTTATTGGCTAATGCTTTTATTTTACGATTTTTTAGCCAGCTTCAAATAAAGTGGCAGAAGTCAGAGAAGTGACTCGAATAGAACGTATAGGTGCACATTCGCACATACGAGGGTTGGGTCTAGATGATACTCTTGAAGCGCGCAAAGTGTCGCAAGGTATGGTGGGACAAGCTGCAGCCAGAAGAGCCGCCGGAGTGATTTTACAAATGATCAAAGACGGGAAAATAGCCGGAAGAGCAGTATTATTAGCAGGACAACCTGGCACTGGGAAAACGGCCATCGCCATGGGTGAGATTTTACGAAGAACTGTTTATTGCATGAATGCGGAATGTCATGCACTGCCTAATCCACCGCACCCTCCCCATGACATGTAATTTTAGTATTTTCATTTACTCAAGCAATTTGTAATTTTACTAACCTTGACTTGGTTTAATTTCCTTTTTGTTTTTTTTAGCCTAAAAATTGTTTCAGCCTAAATGATTTGGGCTAATTTTTCTAATCTTGGGCCTTTCAAGAAAACCATAATTTGTATGCTTTCTTTCGGATCGCACAAAATTTCAAAATACAAATTTTTCATGTCAAGTTTTATTTTCACTCGATAGTTACTTTCAAGTTTTCATTAAACGCCGTAGAATGTGTGTCTGAACGTGTTTTCTGTAAATATAACATCATTCCAGACAACGTTTTGAAGTTTTGTAGTAGTTTCTGTGAAAATTTTTCAGTTTTCTTTGGAATTAATAGTTGTCTTTTCCTTTCCTGTCTGCTAGCTTTTGTGTAATCCCAAGTGATGCGAAGCTCTGCTTCGCCTCTGTGTAATAAACGCATTTTTGTAATTTTCTGCCGAACACTTGGTCTAGAGGTAACGAATACCCCTGGGACGGTCAAAGGTCTTGGGTTCGAATCTAAGCCGGTCCTTTTTTTTCAATCATGAAGTTGTTTCGTTGGCCTATTTACCACATCACTGAATTTCTTGCGCTGTAAGCAATTCTCTTTGAAAACGAAAAAGTTTTCGGTTTTTGCTGTAAACTGTCGGCCTAATTACCGCTCGATTAGGTTTTCTTTTTTTTAACGCCGGCAATTTTTTTGAATGTTTTTTTTTCTCAAATTGAACTTCATTGCAGACAAAAATGTGAAAAGACAAATATGTGATTGTTTTCATTTTTTCGACTAAATGTCTTTTTTTCCTGTCTGCTAGCTTGCAATGTTATGTTTGTGGTCTCGCAAGTGTTTTTTTAAATCTGAAACGCGATCAAATTTATTAGTTGAAATGGTGTGTGAAACTTGTGCCCTTGCAAAAAAATGAATACTAAAGATGTTGCTTCCAGAGGCAAAATTTTTTTAGAATAGGTAAAAAATTTTCAGAATTATCTATTTTATAGCCTGGAAAATGTGCAACTAAGATTGAATAAATGACTCGAATTAAACCACAATTAATAGCGTGTATAAAATAGTATGAAATCGCGTTTCTCAACCAAGCGTAAGAATTTTGATACAAAATGGAAAAATTTCGTATCCTGCTTGCTTGTCGACCTATTGTTGGTCTGGTTAAATTTTGTCGGCTTTGTTTTCAGATCACGGATTCTTTTTGTGTTGTAAGCAGTTTTCATTGTAGTTGCACGTGTTTCTGATATGCTCCTGTAATTAAAAAATTTTCTAATCCTTGCTTTACGTTTTTTTTTCTAGTATTATTATTTTCGTTTTAAAAGCTCATTCTGACCTAAATGGTTTTGGCTTGTTTTTATTGGCTGAGTCAACTAATTTTAGTAGTTTGAAAGGGAGTTTTATTTTAACACCGCCTGCCCCTCAAAATACAAAAGGATAACGATCTTAAAACTTGAGAGTTTTATTGTGAGTAGCCAATACTCATACTTAGATTGGATTGGAAGACTATGTGAAACACTCGATTAAATCAAGTACTGCCTTAAAAACATGAAGATGAAATTTTTCTATTTGTTTTATGCAATTTTTTTTTATTCGTGCTCAGCGTTTTAAATGAAATTTCTACTCTATTCGAAAATGAACAGTTTTTCCCGAATTCTTTTTGTTCGTTTTTTTGGGTCCGATTGTTTCACGAGAAAAATCGCATCGCAATCTACCTGATGAAATATTTAACAGCAGTTTCGAATGTTTTATTTATCATTTCATTCAAAATAGGAAAGAACTTTGTATTCGGGTGTTTTTCTCTTTTAGTTTTCCACGCAAAATCAGGTTCCTTAAATAAGCATCGGAATGGGTCGAGTGATATACCATATTAAAGCTCTTTCAGTCTTAATTCGGTTGACATTAAAAAATTGACCCAGTGTTGAGAAAATAGGTTTAAACTTTTTGATTTTTGGTCTAAACGCGAGCGAGCGAGCAGGCTTACAATAGCTTAATTATGCTTCATTTGAGCCGTAAAAACTTACTTTACTTGAGTAAAGTCACTCGTTCTTATACTTTTTTAACGCCATTTGGGCAATCGAAAACTTCAAAATTACGATGTTTTTGTAATTTCGTTTTTTAATGATTGTTTTTGTTTTTCTTGTCATTTTTCTGCAAAAATTGTAGTCCATTTTGCCTGTTTTACAATTGATGTCAACTATGCCTAAGTTCTAGTTTTTCGTTCAGATCCTGCTATCACACCACGCAGAAAAAACGACACTAATTTGAAAAAATTCTTTGTGGTCGGAGCATTCTGTGCTACGTGCGCAGTAACCGCCTATCCTTGTTTGAGTTTTTTATTTCCTTCTTTCGTTCTTTTAATGGAGTTTTTATATTTCAATTTGACTTCAAAGCATAATTTTTGAATTGTTTTAAATTTCAATTAAATTAGAAGAGCTTTAAGTTGAAGTAATTTGTGCTATGAAAGTCGAGTTGAAAAAACAATCGTTTTTCGGTTTCTTTGAAGCTGTCTGTTAGCTATATTTATCAATTTTTAATGCAGAATTTTTACTCGCATGGCTTTCATATAGCAGCCTAATTGGCTACATGCCACTGTTTTTGGTTCAGTGGTCAGAATCAGGGGCCGATCTAGGATTTTCTCGAGGGGGGATTGGGTTGAGGATTTTAAATAACATTCCAAAATCTTGACCTTCATTTTAGGTCGACCAAATTGATTTTCCGTGCTCTCCCATAGCACTAACAAAAACTGATTTGGCCAAAGTTAGTTTTTGCGCAGTGGGCGAGTTTTTGCCAAAACAGGCCAAAAAGTGTTCCCCCCCGCCCTCAAAAATGGTATCTATTGAAAATTTTTAGGGTCAGAAAAAATGGAGGTCTTAAAATAGCTTTGGGTAGTCCGGGGTCGAATCCCTGAGGAGGGGGTGGAGAGGGGCGTCCGTAGACCCACCCCCCAAAAAAAATCCGCTACTAATCAGAATAGAAAACAATCGAGCGAGAATAAAGAGCTTGAAGCTGAAAATGGCCTGGAATCAAAAGTTGTACCACAGCTTTTAGCGCAAAGTTAGAATCTTTTACTGGTATTCCAGGGCAGAGGTTTTATTAGGAATATATTTTCCAGGTATGGCTCAAGCACTTGGCCAGGACACGCCTTTTACTGCAATGGCTGGAAGTGAGATCTTTTCTCTTGAAATGAGCAAGACAGAGGCTTTGACACAGGCTTTCCGAAAGTCCATTGGAATCCGAATTAAGTATGACCAGTTCTTTTTAGGAAAAAAAATTCAATTCTTGAAAGAATCAGAGTTATCGAGCTTGTTACACTTGCGAAAGAAATCAGCCTGTTAAGCCTTAATTTGCCTAGAAATTGAAAACATCCTTTTGATTATTATTGAACCTGATTTCATTAAATGTTCTGAAGAAACATAAGAGGTCATACGAATTAACTAAATGGTTTTAGGGAAGAAACCGAGATGATCGAGGGAGAAGTTGTGGAAATTCAAGTTGATCGCCCGGCAACAGGCCAAGGCAGTAAAAGTGGCAAGCTCACTCTAAAAACGACAGACATGGAAACTATTTACGACTTGGGAGTGAAAATGATTGAATCGATAACGAAAGAAAAAGTTCAAGCTGGAGATATTATAACAATTGATAAAGCCACGGGAAAAATATCCAGGCTAGGTCGCTCTTTCACGCGAGCCAGGGATTACGATGCAATGGGAAGCCAGACTAAGTTCGTGCAATGTCCAGAAGGTGAGCTGCAGAAACGCAAGGAAGTTGTTCACACTGTCTCACTCCATGAGATAGATGTGATAAACAGTAGAAGTCAGGGTTTTTTGGCACTGTTTTCCGGAGACACTGGAGAAATCAAACCGGAAGTGCGTGATCAGATAAATGCCAAAGTGGCTGAGTGGAGAGAAGAAGGCAAAGCTGATATTGTACCTGGTGTTTTGTTCATTGACGAGGTGCACATGCTGGACATTGAGTGCTTCTCATTTCTAAATCGTGCATTAGAAAGTGACATGTCACCTGTTTTAATCATGGCCACAAACAGAGGAATCACAAAGTTTGTATCAATCTTTTAGTTATATTTTTGAGTTAGTACATGCTATGAATTTGATTTGGGTTTGTTTTGCAGAATCCGAGGAACTAGCTATAAAAGTCCTCATGGGATCCCAATTGATTTACTGGACAGACTGTTGATTGTGGCCACCACTCCTTATTCAGAAGCTGAACTGAAGCAGATTCTGGTCATTCGGTAATTTTTTTTACACTACCACGTGAAAAAAAAACAGTCACTGAGTTTCCTATCAAATTCTTAAATTTAAAATGAAGTGGAGCATGGTATTGGAATTTCGTTCTAGCTGTGAAGAGGAAGACGTTGAGATAAGTGATGATGCGGTTGAGATTCTGACCAAGATTGCCCAAGAAGCTTCTCTCCGATATGCAATACAACTCATTACTACTGCCAACTTAGTCTGCAGAAAAAGAAAGGTGAGAATTTTCAGTGTTTACGATGAGTTAGCTTTTCAGCCCACAATTACTGCTATGATTTCCTCCGTTGAACGCTGATGCAATTTTTTAAAGCCAAAAAATGTCATGATCAATGTAAGATGACCGACATCATGATTCGCTTGACAGTGGTTTTTTAATGTCTGCGTCGTATTCCATTTTTGCGACACGTTATTTTTTACGCGGTGACATCAGCAGCTATATTTTGGTGTGTTGTTTTTAGGGAACAGAAGTGAGTATTGAAGACATCAAGCGGGTCTACTCTCTCTTTATTGACGAGGCCAGGTCCACCGAGTTCCTCAAGGAATACCACAAGGAATTCATGTTCAACGAAGGTACAAACTTTTTTTAAATCTATTTAGATGTTTCTCTGATTATAGCAGCGGTGTATTTGTTCAACTAATATCAGAACTGATTTGAATACCAAATTACTAAATTAAAAATCGCGAAGAATTTTAAAGTCTAAAGAAATGATTGTTAGCTTCACCGAAACTGGCTCGTACTTTGGCGGGTATTCACTTGTTTCGCCCCCTCACACGTTTCGTCCCTCATAAATTACTGGCACATTTCGACCCCACACATTTTGCCCCTAAAATATACCTTACGAAAGCGGCGGTTAATTAACTGTTTAATAAGTTAGGGGCGAAACGTGCGAGGACCAAATGTGTGTAATTATTAGGGGCGAAATGGGCCACTAGATTTAAGAGGGGCGACATGTGTGTGGGGCGAAACATGGGACATTCACTTTGGCGCTATACCCTCAAATATCTGACATATAGCTTAGTAGTCCTTGGTCTCAAGCTTAATATCAAATATCAATATGAACTAACTGTCCCAACAAGCATTAAACTGTGTTTCAGACGAAGGTGACGCTAATATGGAAACGAATTGAAAGTATTGTGATCTGGCAAAGGAACCCACAGCTACTGGACAAACCACGTCTTCCGCGCACCTTTTATGATCATCTCATGGCTCTATGTTCATTCTAGAAATAGCAGTGCCCATCGGTGTACATAGCAAAATTTGTACTTGTTTTGTTTTCTTTTCACTGAAATACATATCTATTTGAGACCTCGTTTTTTAAATCTGAACTGAAGTTGATCATTTCGTTTCATCGTCGTGCAGCAAAGCGGCGACCGTTCTTTTATTTTTTGGATGAAATAAGAAACATGAAGAGTTCTATGGTTATATTTTACAACATTTATTCAAAGTAGGGCATGGAGCGGTTAATTTTAGTCTATCCGGTTAACCGGGTTGATTTAACCGTTTAACCGGTAAAATTCTCGACTTTTTGGAAAAACAATTGGAATCATATAAATTAATTTTGAATTCACTCAAGTGAGGCAATTTGTTCAAAAGCAGAATAACGAATAGCTAAGTTTTTTCAGGCTTATGATTTTTCGATATTTGGATTCTTGTGAAAATCAAGATCAATGGATTTTTTTGTTTTTGATGTTTTAATAAAAAATGTTCAAGAGAAAGATAAAGATGTTGAGAGAGTCTTTCAATCGCAAAATTCAGAAATGTTTCATGAAGAGACCCGACTGTTTATTAGCAGTGACCTCTGTTGTACAAGTTCACTGGTTTAATTTTTTTAACCGATTAAAATCCAACCATCGATACACTAATTCTTAGAAATCGCTGAAGGCGCTTTGCTTTGGTCGACAATAAACACAAATTATCTGCAAAAAGCGTGACAGAAAAATACGGCTCTTGGTCTAATTTTACTGTAGACAATTATTTAAGATTTTTTGTTGCTGATTTCAAATTTTTTGCAACATATGGACATTTTGCGGTTCTACCAGTTCTTAAAAACAAATTTAAAAAAATAAAAAAAATTTGAAATACAATTTTACTTGCGAGAGCAGGTGTACTTTTATTCGAGATTTTCCCGTAAATAACTTGTAAAAATCTATGTACAACGTATAATGGAACTTCGATATATTTCATGGTTCCCTTCTCACATGGCCTAGAGTTTATCTTTTTTGCAACAATGCATTCTGCTTACGCTGAATCGATTGATTTGTACTTCTTTTTACGTCGTATGAAGGGCAAAACTAGATTTTTATGCTTTTGTGTGTTACAAGAGGAATAGGGCGTTTCCAAATTTTATAGTTCAAAGGTTTCTTTGACAATTTTTATATTCATTTGGCGTCTGCCAAAGTATTTTCGCTGGGTAACTGATTTTGAAATCTTATTTCACAGCGGTGATTGTGTCTTGAGACAAATTGATGTTTTTGTCGTTGTAGTTTTTGTCAGTTGTTGAATAATCGTTAAAAGTGTTAAAATTTGATCGAGCTCAAATTTTATTTTTCGCGATTGATTTGACTTTCGATTTGTTTCAGTTCATTTTTTAAAAGGAACGCAAGCTCCACTATCGAACAGCAAGAGTGTAAAGGTCCCGAAAAAGCAGAAGTGGTTGACTTCTAGTCTGGATTCTCCATCGGAATAGAAAGTTTACCTATTGATCCAGTTTTTCAAATTGTGGTGTTAAGGATATCGAAAAAGTGTCAACCATATTTTGTTCCGGAAATTCAAAGAGTTATAACGCCGTCTTTTGTTTTCTCCGAACTTCGAAACTTGAGATTCTTTCTATAAACAAGTCCGTTTTTTTTGTTTACGTGCGTTCATTGACTATTTTCCAATTGTTTTTAACTGTTTTTCATTTGGGCCGCGTTTTTAAGGTTCCATAAACGTAGTTTAGACTCTCATAGATATCTTAATGATTTTTTTCTCAGTGAAATTTTTAAAACGCTTTTATAAAGTGCTTTATAAATGCACATATGATTGTCTTTAAGTATATACACACTTTTTGAGTTCTATGCAAGTTCATTTACTTTTTTGAAAGCTGAAAAACTTGATTGTTTTCTCTTTCCGAAAGTGGAATTTAGTTAATAGATTTCCCAGAGGAATCAAAAAACTTTTCCTAGAAATCCACTTCTCAAATTGGGCTAATTCTATCAAAAAACTTTCAAATATAAATTGCTCTGGAAATTCGAAGAGTTTTAAGACCATGTTTTTTAGAGTCGATGAACGTAGTTCAGACTCTTAAATAGGTCGCGATGATTTTTGTGTTTTCAGGAAAAGTCATAGTTTTTGTTCAGGCTCATTCTATTTTCCGCGGTTTGAGTTTTGATTTCTTTTTAGTTCCAGTTGTTAAAACGAAGTCAAACTCCACTATCGAACAGTAAAAGTGTAAATGTCACGAAAAACGTGATCGACTTCTAGTTTCGAAAGTGCAATCAATTTTCAGATTTCTCAGCGAAATAAAAGTTTGATACAAGTTGGGTGCATTTCAAGTTGGGTGCAATTCAAGTTCGGTGCGTTTCCATTGGTTAAAGGAAGGCAAGCTCCTTTATCGAACAGCAAAAGTGTAAAGGTCACAAAAAATGTGATTGACTGCTAATTTCGAAAAGGGAAAATAATCAGATTTCCCAGCGAAATAAAAGTTTTGCCTATTGATCCAGTTTTCTCAATTTGGGTAAATTTTACCGAAAAAGTGTCCATCATAAATTGTTCTACAAATTTAAAGAGCTTTAAGACCATATATTTTTTCATCGCAATTCAAAAGTTGAAGGTTTATGAAAACACAAGTCAGTTTTTTTTCAGTTTCTTTGCATTCAGTACTTTTTTCCAACTGTCAGTTGGCTATGTTGTTACGTAAAATTGTCGTAAAAGTGTGTTGTGAAGTTTCTGTAGAATTTGCACGGCCATTGGTTGTTTTTAATGATTTGATCACGAAGCCGCTAGGAACCAGGATTTAAGAAGAGTATTTCAATAACATAACGATATTCGATTTTTTAAATTCTCCCTGTGCTTCTAAATTGAGTTGATTGACTTGATTAAAAAAAAATAAGTCAGTATTTTTTTTCTGTGTACTTGCGTTCATGTAATACTGTCCAACTGTCTGTTGGCTATGTTTGAAATACAGTGCAGTTCAGCGTTGTTAATTGTAATTGTTATGTAATACGGCGCAGCTTAAAATGAAAGAAGTTTTTTCAACTGCTAGGAAGTTTTCAGCGATCTTTTGCCTTTCAGTTTTTTGTTCTATGGACACGAAAACGAACTCTCATCTGGATGAAAAGTGGAGACTGGTTCCGGCCTTTCTCCAGGGAAGGGGTCTGGTGAATCTGCATCTGGACAGCTTCAACCACTTCATCAGTGTTGACATCCACAAACTCGTTCAGGCCCACTCGAAAGTGACGTGCGAGGCAGACGTCAACTGGTATCTGAGATACCTCAGTGTTAAAGTGGGACACCCGAACAGCGAAGAGGGATATGGAATCAAGAAGAGCATAACGCCCCATGAGTGTCGTCTTAGAGACATGACATACTCTGCTCCAGTTTATGTCGATATTGAGTACGTCAAAGGAACCCAGCGAGTTATCAGGCAGGATTTGCTGTTAGGTCGGTTGCCGATTATGTTAAAGAGCAACAATTGTGTGCTGCACGGCAAAACGGCTGCTGAGATGGCAAAGTTGAATGAATGTCCTTTAGATCCGGGTGGGTACTTTGTAGTTCGAGGAACGGAGAAAGTGATTTTGATGCAGGAACAACATTCAAGAAACCGAATCATTTGTGACATGGACCCCAAAGGAAATCCAACATGCAGTGTAACTAGTATGACCTATGAAAAGAAAACGAGAACTGCAGTATCGCTGGTTCATTCCAACTTTGTGGTAAGGTCGAATGTTTTTGCAGAAGATGTTCCGTTTGCAATCATGATGAAAGCGTTTGGAATAGAATGTGAGAACTTTTTGGTGCAGCTCGTTGGAGTAGAGCCGAAAACTTTGGCGCTTCTGGCACCTTCTTTAGAAGAATGTCACAAAAATGAAGTTTTCACCGAGACGCAAGCGTTGGTGTATTTGGGAAAACGTCTCAAATCTAAAGTGAGTGTTCTCGGAGTGCCCGGGATGCGACAAAAAGCGTTTCCCAAATCAGAGGAGGCACGTGAACATTTGTTCCAGAATGTTCTTTGCCATATTGCAGCGCCAGAATACGATTTCTACGATCGAGCTGTGATTTTGGGCATGATGGTTAGACGAATTATACTTTGCATGGATGATCCTACTCTCTTGGATGACAGGGATTACTATGGAAATAAGAGACTCGAGTTGGCAGGTTCCTTCGTGTCTTTACTCTTTGAAGATTTGCTCTTGAGATTTAACGGCGAGTTAGTGCGGGTTGCCAATACTGTGATTCCAAAAACTAGGGCGCAAGGGTTCGACGTTGTAAAATACATGAGACCTGATATTATAACCAGCGGTCTCGAAATGTCAGTGTCATCCGGAAACTGGACCTTGAAGAGATTCAAAATGGAACGTCAGGGTGTCACCCAAGTGTTGTCTCGACTGTCGTACATTTCGGCTCTGGGAATGATGACTAGGGTTAACTCGCAGTACGAGAAGAGTCGAAAAGTGAGTGGTCCAAGGGCTCTTCAGCCATCCCAATGGGGAATGCTATGTCCTTCCGACACACCTGAAGGAGAAGCATGTGGCTTGGTTAAGAACTTGGCGCTGCTTGCTCACGTGACTACAGACGTCGACGAAAGTAGTCTAGACGTGTTTCTCGATAATTGTGGTCTTGAAAATATCAGACTCTTGTCCGGAGAATCAGTATTCAACCCCTCTAATTTTATTGTTAATCTTAACGGTCTGGTCAAGGGACTAACAAATGATCCTCAGCTGTTCGTGGATGATTTTCGTAGACTAAGACGTGCGGGATATATTAACCCTTTCGTTTCTGTCAGCACAAATTTTCACACTAATACCATAAATATAGCCTCAGATCAAGGCAGGATTTGCCGTCCTTACATTGTAGTCAAAAACGGGAAATCTGCGGTGAGGGAACGTCATTTAAAAGATCTTGCGAGAGGCGTGCGAACGTTCCAAGACTTTGTAAAGAAAGGACTGATTGAGTATTTAGACGTAAATGAGGAAAACGATTCTTTAATTGCACTCTACCCTAAAGATATCATAAATGAGAGTACCCATCTGGAAATAGAGCCCTATACAATACTGGGTGTATGTGCTGGATTGGTTCCATATCCACATCACAACCAGTCGCCCAGAAACACTTACCAGTGTGCTATGGGCAAACAGGCCATGGGAAACATAGCTTATAACCAGAGAAACAGAATCGATACGCTGATGTATAATTTAGTCTATCCTCAGATTCCGATGGTGCGCACAAAAACGATTGATCTGATTAATTTCGATAAGGTTCCGGCTGGTCACAATACTATGGTGGCTGTGATGTCATATAGTTGTTATGATATCGAGGATGCCTTGGTGATAAACAAAGCTTCATTGGATCGAGGCTATGGACGATGCATAGTTTACAGGAATCAAAAGGTTGCTGTTAGAAGGTACGCCAATGGGACAGGCGACAAAATCAATGGGCCGCTTATCGACCCGGTTTCGAAACTACCAATATTCAGACACCAGATTTTGGACCAAGATGGGGTCGCTTTTCCAGGTCAGAGGTGCCTGGACAGACAAGTGACTGTGAATAAAAGCATGCCAATCGTTACCCAGACGTCTCTCTCAGGCGTAGCCGGAGCTCAATCGTCCAGTGACATAACTCAGAAGGTAGAGTATAAAGACTGTCCTACAGATTACAAGGGATCCGAGCCGTCTCACATTGAGAAGGTGATGATAACGTCGAACAGTGAGGACTCGTTTTTGATAAAACTGTTGCTCCGTCAGACTAGAAGACCAGAAGTGGGGGATAAATTCAGCAGCAGACATGGACAGAAGGGGGTGTGTGGTTTGACTGTTCAGCAGGAAGACATGCCCTTCACTGAGCAAGGAATCTGTCCCGATATTATCATGAATCCGCATGGGTTTCCCTCTCGAATGACTGTAGGTAAACTGATTGAACTTCTAGCCGGTAAAGCAGGGTTAATTGAAGGCAAGTTCAAATACGGAACTGCTTTTGGAGGCGATCAAGTCGATGACATTAGTCAAGTTCTCATCCAAAATGGATATAATTATCTGGGAAAGGAGTTTTTAACGTCTGGAATAACAGGCGAACCGTTGGAAGCGTATATATACTTCGGACCTTTTTACTACCAAAAGTTGAAACACATGGTGCTTGATAAAATGCATTCGAGAGCGAGGGGACCCAAAGCAGTTTTGACGAGACAGCCTACCGAGGGACGGTCACGTGACGGAGGGTTGAGATTAGGAGAGATGGAGCGAGACTGTTTGATTGGCTACGGAGCTAGTCTGCTCCTACTAGAGCGCCTGATGATCTCAAGCGACATGGCTGAGATAGAAGTATGTGGTAATTGTGGTCTGTTGGCATATTCTAATTGGTGTCATTTCTGTCGCTGTTCGAAGGATGTGGCAAAGATTAAGATTCCCTACGCGTGTAAATTGCTGTTCCAAGAACTGATGGCGATGAATGTCGCGCCCAGACTGAAGCTTGAAAGTGTTTTGGACTAAAAAAGAAACCTCAAATTTTTTGTTTTTAGTGAAATGAAAAATAATTTATTCAAATCAAAAATTTAAGTTGCCAATTTTGTTGATCGTTAGCAAATGACCATCATGTATTCATCATATTTTCATTGCATTCTTTCAAACAATGCGGTCATTGTGGTGTGAACTGTTGCCATATTTCAATTCGACAGGAGATTTCGATGAAGGGATAATGTTCTCTTAAATCAGTTAATTCACTGTTAAGACTGTTTAACATATCTCTAATTCAGGTTTATTATGGCGATTACACTGCGGGCAATTTGAATGATCGTCCTTTCATTTTGTCAAAATGGATCCATTTGACTCTGTAGTTCGCATGTCTGCATTAAACGGCTCTGATCCGGAACTTAGTCGCTGCTTAAAAAGTTTGACTTATGACGACGACCTGAAAAAGCATCTGGATTTCAAAGTTAAAGCTACTTTCTGTGACCCGAAGTTAGAGGTCAAAGTAGCTAAGATGTGTGATATTGAACCCGAAGCAAATATGAATGAACAAATGGTTATAAAACGTGAACATTCGCCGAATGAAATATTCAGACCCAGCGTCAATGGTACGAGCGCAAAAACGGATCGGTTTTTCGATGTTCGCCAAAAGCCAAATTTTGATGATGCCAAAGAAAACAATCGTGTTTATATTCGCAATCAATCAATTTTCCTGACTGCAGTTTTGTGTGCAATATTTTTGTATATATTTAGCCTGACACTATTCTTCCTACTCCTAGCATTTTTCAGTGTATATTTCGAGATAGGAGCGGCTCTGTTTCTAAATGTAATGATGCTATTCTTTCCCCTGACTGCTGTAGTTTTCAACTGGAGTTGTTTTGTAGTCTACTCTACTTTTTACTGTTCGCTCACCTGTTGTGTTCTTATAGCATGTGCTTATGTTCAGTTCTTTGCAACTGGTGTATATGAAAAGCTAAAGAATGCGACGTGTTTGTTCATAGCGTGCAATTAGTCATTCTTAAAGTTAAAATTTGTCCATTTTTGGTCATACTTTTCCGAGTCAATGAAGTTTTTTTTATATTCAAATTATAGCAAGAATGAATGTGCAATGCAACTGCTAAATTTGGTGCTTTTATGTTATTGTGTCACTATTTGAAAATTCCAAACTATATTCCTACTAGAAACCAAGTTAAATTCCTTTAGAATTTTTCGATTTTTCTACAAACCAGGTGAGACTTAAAAATTAGCGCCAGAATAAGTTGATTAAAACCCTCAATTTAAGGAGAAACGTTTATTTTCAGACAGCGTAGTGGCAAAGAACTTGGTATTTGGGTTTTTTTCCTTACAAAGTTGGTACCACACAGTCACGTACGAGGTCGAGTGATATATCGTATTGGAATCCTGTCAGTCGTGATTCGAGCAGTTTTCAAAAATGTGAAACATTAATCTCGGTATCGAAAAAACTAGCCGAATGAATATACAATGCTGATGTAGCTGAACTAGTTAAATGTTTTTATTTTGAATATAGAGTCACCATTTTAGCTTCAAATGACATGTTTTGAGAAGTAGAGAGACCAAAGAAATTTAAACGCAAGCTAGTTGAAAAGAGGATCTTGAGTCATCATATGATTCAATTTTTTTTTTCAACTATTGTCTCACGTTCCTGTTAACGGTAACTTCCCAAATGGCATACTAATGAAACTTTTCCCAAATGGCATAAATTTCAAGTTTTCACTGTAATTCAAACGTTTTCTGTCAGTTTCTAATTCTAACATTTTTTCAGGAACGAAAAGATGTTAACAAGATTTGGAATTAATTGGTTCCAAACAAATGTAAAGCGACAAATTTGTCGGAAAAGTTGACCACAGGAAGCTTATTAATAACCGCAAGCGTATGTTTTTCGCTTTTGATAAAATGTCAAGATTAAATGTCAATTAACATTCGAATTGACAACTTGACTAATTTTCTCACATTGTTCACGAAAAAGTTGTTCTCGGTTTTTTCAATGCAACTGTTGCATGAAATTTATGCCATTTGGGAACTTTTTTATTTTTATGCCATTTGGGAATTATGCCATTTGAGACGTAATCGTGTTAACGCTGGCGGCTAGCAAGCGTCATCAAATTAGATTGAAGATTTTTTGTCAGGTTAACCTCTTATGTGATAAAAATCACTCATTACAGATAGCTTGATTTATTACAAATTCGAGACGTTTGGCTTTGGGACATTAACTAGAGGGTACCGAGCACGCCTGGGACGGCTAGGGTCCTTGCTTCGATAAAAGTCTGTTTGTGTGTTTGGGCTAAAAGAAATATCATTGCAATCAAATGATTTTTTCCTGTTAATTGTAAATTCATTAACCCTGACTTTGCATAATTCCTTATTTTTTCGCTCAAAAGCTTTATTCGGCTTATATCGTTCGGCCTCTGTTATATCGTCTTAGTGACCTGATTTTGCGTCATTTGAAAGGAAAAAAATAGCCATTAAAAATTTGTTCTTTCCGAAGGGACGTGTACGTTTTCGGAATAGCAGAACTTTTATAGCTCAAAGTTTTTATGACAATTTTGCCACTTGCGATGCAACACAAACAAAGCGTAACAAACTAGCAGATGTAAATTCCGACAAAAGCTGCGAGGTCAACAAATAGTTTTGAAATGTCGAGAAAAGCTAGATCTACCAAAGTTTTCATATCTTTGTCTCAACTTGTCTTGAATAAGAAAATTGATAGATAAATTTGCATCTTGCATCGAAAACAAAACCTACAAAGCAGACCATTTTTGTGAGAAATAAGAAATAATGAGTTACCCCTCGAAGAAATAATGAGTTACCCCCTCGAAAGACTCACATGCATAAGACAATTGTTTCGCCCATCCAATGGCACAAAATTAGGCCACTAAGTTGATCAGGTATACGACGAAAATTTAGCGCAGTAATGAAAGAAAAACGGAAATTATTCCTAGTCGGAGGTTGTAAAATTAAAATCAGCATTTGTAAATTATTGAATAGAACGGCTATCTGATATGCAGTCTTGATAAAATTATGTCTGTTGGTTGACAAAAGTGGAGATTCAGGAAATTGCTTCAGTGATTCATTTGGACAAGTTGTTCACAAAAAATGTTCCGAATTAAATAAGTTTGCTAATTACGAGTATGTTTATCGCATCCATAAAAATTGTGTGCATAATTAACTAAATTTCCTCAAAAAATTTTATAACTCAATTTCTTCCGCCAATTTCTAAAAACCCGCCACTTTTTCATGAATCTGTTGTTTTGGTTAAATTCTTGATATCAAGTTTGTCAGCATAGTTATCTAGAAAAACTTTTCCAGAAAAGAATTGTGTAAAATTTTTTGGACGTGCTCCATTATGCAGGGCAGTTCCCCACAACCCATTCTGTCAATTGAAACCAAATCTTGAAACACCGTTAACTGCAACATTTAAAATTTCGGACCTGGTTTCCTTCATTGCTAATAATAGCCGAGCACAAAAAATCTTGCCTTCAAATCTCACTTCTCAAATCCATGTCGTTTTTTTTTTGATTTTTTCAAAAATTTTCGAAAACTTTGAAGATCTCAATCCTTCAAAGTTTAAAAAAAAAATCAAAAACGTTGAAAATCTCAATCCTGGAGTTGGAAGCTCTGGGGGTACCCTCAGGAGTTGCAAGTATTGCCTCTGAATATGAGTGTTCAAATCCTTGTAATTTTCGAGATTTGACTTTTTTAAAGGATTTTTCAGAAAACTTTAATTAAAACTATTTTTTCAAAATTGGAAATTCCTAACCCTGTAGTTGGGGGCTGTCAGAGTGCTCTCCGGGGCTGCGAATCTTGCCTTCAATTAAGGCTGCTCAAATCTTTGCCGTTTTTTGTTATTTTTCAAATAAAAATTCAGAAAACTTGATTTAAAACTATTTTTTCAAAATTTGAACTTCCTAACCTTTTACTTGGGGGCTGTCAAAGTACTCTCAGGTGTTGCGAATCTTGCTTCCATATATGATTGCTCAAGTTTTTACAGTTTTTGAATGTTTTTGTGGTTTTTTGAAGTTTTGTTGTTAAAAAGCTTAATTTTGAAAAGTTTCTCAAATTGAAATTCTTAGCCCTGTTTTTGGGTTTCATGACAGTACTCTCATGAGTTACAAATCTTGCGTTCAAATGCGACTGCTCCGTTTCAAGTTTTCGAAATGTGAATTTTCTCTTTCATTCTATTTTTTTGAAGAACTTTTATATATATAAAACTTCAATATTTTATGGTTTTTCAAAATTTGAATTAAAAAACTTGAATAAAAAAATTTTGCAAAATTTGAAATAACCAACCCTGTAATTGGGTGCTGTCAAGGTAGTTTTAAAGGATGCAGATCTTATTTTCATAATATGCAGTTTTTTATGAGTTGTTAAAAATTCTAGCAGAATTGGGTTTCCATTTTTTTTAAATTTAAAAATACTTTTGTTTCATTTCTTTTACTAAATCAATTTGTTCGTTAGACTTCTGATTTCTTTTTAAGTTTGCTTCAGAGGAAGCCGAAATATGCACTTATATTAAGAAAATGAGAGTGGAGCGAAAAAGATTGAATGATTGAGGATCGAAGATGGTTTTAAAGTTTAAAATGTCTGTGGAATCAAAAAATTCTTACTTACGGGTTTTCGGTAATGGGTGTCAAAGATAATTTTCAAAGAGCTTTAAGGTGATGTGGTTTTTTTCTTCGAAATTGCTATAGTGTCAGTAAAGGTACTGAATAGGTCGTAATTATTTTTTTGTGTTTTCAGGAAAAAGTAGTTTGTTCACGCTCAATTTTGATTTTTCGCGATTTGAATGCCGTTCATTTCATTGGTCAAAAGAAAGAGAGAAGAAATTATTTCTCTACAGTAGTATTTGAGTTTTTGATGCATATTTGAGTTCATTTCAATTTTATTTGCGAATTGCGCTCTCCAACGAAAAAAGCGGAAACGTCATCAATTTGTAGTTTCGAAAATAGATTTTAATACGCAGCGGAGTAAAATTATTACCCATGGATCCAATTTTCTAATATTGGGATATTTTCAATTAAACAGTGCCAATTTAAACTGTTTTGGAAATTCAAAGACATTTAATCTGATTTTTTTTCGGTAGTTGAAAATTCATCAAAAATTTTCAATCGGTTTTTTTCTTCAATTTTGTTGAATGTTTTACATTTCAAACTGATAATTTTCGTGTTGTAACTTTGTTTCATTCAACTAATAGAAAACATAACGGATTTTTAAACTGGGTTTTGAAATTTTTTTCTCAAATTGGGTTAGTTTTGTATGAAAAAATTGTCTATAATAAAATTTTCCTAAAATGTGACTTAAAATTTCAATTGTAAACAAATTGTCTCACAAAATTATTTTTTTTTCAGTTCTAGTTTAACATCTAATTGTGTTAACTATGGTCTTATCATTGTCATTGTATATAGGGCTGCAATTGTTTCTTAAAAAATTATCTCTTTTCGGCTGGCTGAATTATGTCCCATTTTTTTCATTTAGTGCTATTTTCACAGCAATCGGCTATCCTTGGTATCTTTTAGTATCCTGTATTATAAAATTGAATTGAAAATTAACTAATGGAACCACGAGCAAAACATATTTCAGTTAACATAGTCAATTTGAAATGGAAAGGTATCCATTCACAAGTATTCTCTAAAACCATATTTTTTTCTCTAAAACCGGGCTGTTGCTTGAAATCCATAGTTCCATACTGTTCAGTTATTTTTTTGTTGATTTTCCACCTTAATGAAAGCCTGGGTTAAATTGTTCACTCTCCTATGGCTGGATGTGGATCCAATACAGTGCTGATTTAAATAATCCGTTTTTTCGCAAATTGGGTTGATTTTAGATAAAAAGTGATGAAGACCAGTCTTGCTTAAAATTATAACAAAATTAATATGGCGCAATTTGTTTTGTAAAACAAATTGCACATATTAATTCTGTTAAGATTTTAAGCAAGATTGATCTTCATCATTTTTTGTCTAAACTCAACACAAATTGAGAAAAACTCGTTTTAAATTTCAAGTTTTATTCATTTTGTCCGGATAATTTAAACCAGCACTGTATGTTAACAAAAAAATTTTTAGGATGAAGAAAAATCTGTTCATCCTTGGTATATCTTTCGCCTCTGAGCTGGGGCTGATTTAAGGGGGGGGGGAGGACGCCTCCCCCCCCCCCTCCGGGATTCGACCCCCTGCCGACCCTAAAAATTTTCTAAGGGCGCCTTCGGTGCCAATATATATTAATTTTGAGGGGGAGTGCGCTCCGAAAAAGCGCGGTTTTTTGGTCAAAATTTTTCAAAAAGTACCTAAAAATGCCTTTTTGGCCTGTTTTTTCAAAATTTTGTGCGACGCAGAAAATTTGACCAAAACAGGGTCTTTTTAATGATTTGGGAGAGCTCGGAAAATCGATTTGGTCGACCATAAAAAAAGGCCGACTAAGTTTTCAACAGTTTTTTGAAAATCTTGGGGGAATGAGGTGGTTATGATTGCTTGCAATGTTCAAATATAAGAAATGTAACTATTAAATAAAAGCTTTTGATCTTATATGAGAAGCATGTGATGTCTTCTTCAAAGTGGAGTGGGGAGGGAGGCTTTGGTGGCATCATCCCTCAAAATCGTACCAGAATGTGTTAAGAAGTGAAACAAATAGGCTAATCTCGCACCATGACCCCAGAATTGACCAGTTCAATACTACTCCAATCATAATTTGTTCATTTGCGATACACTTGGTATCTTGTCAGTTCAATTCAGTTTGATAGCAGCAGTTGCTAAATTTGTTCAGATCTGCAATGGCCGATTCGAAGACGCTCGACGTATGGGATCTCACAGCAATTCTCGGCTACTTCGCCGCCGTTCTGATCGTCTCAATTGCGGTATGTACTCACAAGTTCAATAATTCCATACTTGATGAACTGTTTTGTAACCATACTCGGTTGAAGAGCAAAATAAAATGTTTTTATCTTCATCGTCCAAGTATTAAGGCATTCGCGTATGATACCGTGTTAATCTTTTCTATGATAAGAATATGCAGTAAGTTAGGTTATATCTGACCTTGATTTGTTAGAAGTTTCGACGAAGAAACAGTTTGTCGGAAAATTGTATTAATTAAAAGAGAGCGATGATTCTTTTAAATGCATTTAACCAGTTTTTAATGCATATATTGTAATAATTGTAACTTGAAAGTTTCACGTTTCCCTGTGGATTAAATAAGACTGTCTATTCGGCGGTCAAATATCAGATAAACTTTTTAAACTCTGAACGAAAAGATTGATCATTTATGTTGGTCTTGGAGTTTTTGAATGAAAATTTTGTGAGCTTGTATGTAGCTAGTATAATGCAGCCGCAATACCGAAGTGTGTTAGTTATATAATTTTGCATGGTTTTGTATATTGGGTTCCTCAATTTTTGTTTTAAAAAAATATTGGAAGACTGCAAATTTAACATTTTTTGAGCTAAAAATCGATACACTTCCAACGCTAATTGCACAAACGACACTTGTGTTATTTATTCTATTAATTAATTTCGATGTAATTTTCCTGCATTGGACTAGTGGTAGCCTGGATGCCTTTGCATCCTAAGGTCTAAGGTGATTGACCTTTTTTTTTAGTATGTATGAAATTGAATTCTCGGACTTTCGGATGTCTGCTTATGTTTTGTCAGCTTATTTGCCGCATACGGATTTTTCTTGTGTTGCAAGCAATTTTTATTGTAGTTGCAGTTTTTCTGGGTTTTTGTAGTCGGATTGTTGTCAATTAAATATACTAAATATACTAAATGTTGTCAAATTAAACTCTGACTTGGTGTATTTTCGTTTTTTTTTGCTCCGGAGCTTTATTCGGCGTTAATTGTTTCAGCTTATCTTTAATCGGCATCGTCAGTTTTTTGTGTTTTTTGAAGGGCGCAAATGGTAAGTCATTTTATATAACTGTTCAAGTTGGTTTTGGTGAGAGTTCAAAGTCTTAAAACATAATCGCTCAAAATATTTTTGACAACAATTTTGTATGGTATTTTTGTTTTAAGCGTATGGGCGTTTACCTACATTTTTGCGGCGTAGTGGTTGCCCAGTAAAAACAAGCCCATATAATGCTGGTGGTTGTGTTTTTCGATTGTTTTCCTAAGTTTGAAATTTTCATTTTCGAAAAAAAGCAGTCCAATTGTTTTCTTGCTTTTTTATCTCATTTTCTATCCGATGGCTTGAAATGCTTTGCTTGCGTTATGTCGCAAGTGATGCAAACTTTGCTTCGCTTCTGTATCAAAGTTTCTTAGATTGTTCTATTTTCTTGCATTTTTGAAGCTCCATTTTGCCGTTTTTTGGATGCGTTTTAAGAAGCGCAGCTTCGCCTTTGTTTCAGTGCTTGTGTTCAAATTTTTTATGCGTTGCAATTGTTTTTGACGATTTTTATTAGTATTGAATATCTCCGGTTTAAATAAACGCTTTCATTGTTGTGAATTAATTGTTTCGAATTTAAGACTGTTTGGCGTAACTCATCCACGCGAAATAACCGTTTTTTTTATTGCGTATATTAATGAAGGCGAAAAAATTCAAACGAATGAAGGCGAAATGTAAATTAATCCAAACGTTGCGTTAATAGATGCAAAATTTATGATTGGGTATTTAATTTGCGTTGTCTTTCACATTTTTGTTCCGACCATTTGAAAAATGTGGAGGAACTTAGTATTCGGGTGTTTTAGTCTTTTTTAAAACTTTTTTTCATTTTTTCGTTATGTTTTTAGACAGTTGTAGTACTTTATGGCTAATTCACTAACTTTCTACGCGTTTGTATAGTTCATTAATCACACCACGCAGAAGAAACAGCGCTAAGTTGAAGACAAAAACAAGTTTTTCTGTAGTTTTTCTACGAATGTATTCGGAACATTCTGTGCTACTTGTACAGCAACCGGCTATCCTTGTTACATATCTTATCACATTTCTTTTTTTTTTAATTTTGAAAAATTTTATCACAATTTTCAATGACGATGATTTTCTAACATTCTGGGTTTGGCCTTATGAATAGAAGAGATCTTTATTTGAATTGTTTTTTGTTAATTCATTCAAATTTTGTTTTTGTGGAGGTTGCATTTTGTCGGGCGGCTTGATTGTTTAGTTGGTCACGCGATGACATTTGGTGTGTTTGCGACGTCTGTTTCAATTTTTACCACCTGTAGACATTTGTTTGCAGAGTATGTTCCGATCCAATCGGGGCACGAAGGAGGGATACTTTCTGGCGGGAAGATTCATGACGTGGCTTCCGGTGGGTGCGTCACTGTTCGCCAGTAATATTGGCAGCGAACACTTCATCGGACTTGCTGGTTCCGGAGCTGCCAGTGGATTAGGAGTCGGAGCTTTTGAGTTGAACGTAAGTATTGTGACTCCAGTGAAGCATACTACAACCACTGTCATGTTGCATTCTCTTGTTAACTGATTATATGTTATCCGTCAAATTGCCTTATAGTCAAACGGTCGCCCTAAAAGAGAATGGGAAGGAACTTGGTATTCAGAAGTGCTTTTCCATGCAATATCTGGTGCCATGACAAGACATCACGATTATCAATCGATCCGATTGACAGTCGGGACCCCCCACCCGCTAGAGAATTCTACTTTTTCATAGACCTCCGTCCGTAGGTTATCGACCCCTACAAACTTTGGGGGAGCTTTAAAGAGACTCCGCCAAATTTTCGATAGTTTCGATAGCATCGTGACAAATTCGAGTATCAAATCGTCTCGAATATTAATTTTGGCATAAAATTTTAAAAATTGACTGCAGACTGCAATTTTTTGCTTTCAAAGTAGATTTATTTAAAACCGGCATATTTTTCTAATATAGTGGGTAAAATTTTTACGCTTTCTGCTAAAATGTGCTAGAGATGCTTATGTTCAATGTGTTTTTCACGTGCTCAGCCGTTTCAGTGGTTTTGAAAACCTAGTTTAGATCTTCATGTATATTATTTTTTTTGTTCGAAATATTAATTTCGCATACCTTTACTAGTTTAGATCTAGAGTAGTGATGGTGATTTAGGCCTGTCTGCTTCTGCAACTTCTCGGATGGGTGTTTCTGCCCGTGTTCATCGCCAGCAGGGTGTGCACTCTGCCCGAGTACATGAGCAAGCGGTTCGGAGGCACCCGAATTCAAATCTATCTGGCCTCTCTCTCCCTCATACTCTACATATTCACCAAGATATCTGTCAATCTCTACTCGGGCGCACTCTTCATTCAAGTAAGGCATTTTTTGCCATTTGTTTGACTTGTTCGTATTGATATCGACCAGTATTTTGGATAAACGATTTGGATAGTAAGCATTTGTATTGGACTGTTTTGTACAGACACGGCATTTTTTGTCTTTTTAAACATCTATTTCACTTGATCGAATTCACAATGACTATTATTTTGGATCAACAATTAGGTTTATATACTTTGTGCCACTTACAGACTCTTTTGTGGTACTTAAAGTTGGATAAAAGAAAATCACCTTCGTTCCTTTTTTGTGAAGTAGTTGGGACAATAAATTAATGGCTAATAACCTTGCAATTTGATGTATTCAAAATATGAAAGCACAATGTGAGGTGTTGAATCGGATGGATTTTTCTGCTTTTGAAGTTTAAAAGATTAAATATTGTTCAATCATTAATACTGGTTGATTAATGATCGGCGAAGTGTTTTTGTAGGTTTTTCCCAACCCTACATGTCGAGGTGCCGCGATTTTAGTAATGAGCGGAACTAAATTTTAAACTCACAATTTCATACTTTGTTTGGTTATGAGATTCTGACTTGAAAATAAAATCATAAATATTTTTGAAGTGTGTTGCTTGACTGCAGGTCGCAGTGGGATGGAACATATGGACATCAATTGCCCCTCTTCTGATAGTTGCAGCCTTCATTACAGTCACTGGGGGCCTGGCTGCTGTCATCTACACAGATACCTTGCAGTGCTTCCTCATGGTTATTGGAGGCATTGTCGTCATGGCCAAAGCGTTTTACGAAGTCGGCGGATGGTCAGGATTGTATGACAAATGGTTCGACTCGTACTCGGCAGCCTCAATTGCTGCTGTCTCTGGAACAGCCAATGAGACCTTACTTTGTAACCAGCCCTCGGAGAAAGGCTTCATTATGCTCAGAGCCCTGGACGACCCGGACATGCCTTGGTTAGGGTTCCTTTTGGGTCAGACGCCGGCTTCAATTTGGTACTGGTGTGCGGATCAGATGATGGTCCAAAGAGCCCTGGCGAGCAAAAATCTCTCCCATGCACAAGGTGCAACCCTGTTCGCGGGAGTGATCAAATTCTCGCCTCTCTTCTTGTTGGTAATTCCGGGCATGATCAGTCGTGTCCTGTTCCCGAATGAAGTGGCTTGTGCTACTCGAGACGAGTGCATGGCCGCTTGTGGCAGTCCTGTGTCATGTACCAATATTGCATATCCGAAACTCGTCATGGAACTAATGCCCTCAGGTGAGCAAGTAATCTCCATATTTGATGAGTTGTTGACTTATTCTTTCGTGAGAGTTAAATAAATAGCACAAGCTTTATAATCTGGTAATTGTTGAACAATATTTTAAACAGAAAATTCATTCCGAGCCTAGAAAAAAGCAATGAATATATAATTGGAAGTAATTATAAGCAATTAAAAGAAAACATTGTCAGGTATTTGTAAATCTAAAGAAACATATTGCAAAAAATACAAACACAACATTTCGCGAACATCATCATTTTATTGCGCCTGACCAATTTAGAGGCCTAACCTTCGCCTTTGATGACGTTTTGTGAAAATTATTTCATGTTTAAGAGTCGATGAACGTAGTTCAGATTCTTATCAAGGTCGCGATGATTTTTTTCATGAAAAGTCTTAAAATTTGTTCAGGCTTAAATTTACTTTTTCGCCGTTTTAATTTGATTTCTTTTTAAGTTCAGTTCATTTCCTTTGTTGAAAGGAAGGCAAACTACACTATCGAAGAGCAAGAATGTAAATTTTACAAAAAACGTGGTCCGAATTTTAGTTTCGAAAGTGGAATTTAATTATCAGATTTCACTGGGAAATCTGATAATTAAATTCCACTTTCGAAGCTAGAAATGTTTATTCCCAGCGAAATAAAATTCACCTATTGATCCAGTTCTCTAAGACTGTGTTAACTTAATCAAAATATTGTCAATCATAAATTGTTTTAGAAATTTAGTAGAAATTCAAAGAGCTTTAAAGCCATTTATTTTTTCTTCGAAAATCGAAAGTTGAGTCTTTGACTCTTTTCAACTGTGTGTTGGCTATGTTTTCTGAATAATCTAACCTTATAGGTCAATAATTCTTCGTCTGAATTGTAATTTTGAAGTGTACATGTTCTAGGCCTGCGGGGTGCTATGTTGGCCGTCATGCTTGCCGCTCTCATGTCTGACTTGACTTCTATCTTCAACAGTGCTTCGTCTCTTTTCACCATCGACATATACGGCAAGATCAAAATGGCAGTATGTAAAAGGAAGAGCCAAGAGAGTGTGTATGTTGACACGCATAATGGAACACAAGCATCGGGAGGATCTAACAGACGTCTGCAGATGAAAGAGAAGTCGGTTATGTCAAATATTGAGATGATGGTTGTCGGAAGGTTCGTTACTGATTCTTAACTGTTACAACAGTACCCAAGTAGTTTATGCATAATAAGCGTAAATTAATATCAATGTTGAAATCCGCCCTCAGTTACAAAGATATAATTTATAAATAAAGCTCGGAGGGGGCAAATGTGTATCATATAAAAGCCCTTTTATCCGTGATTTCAATTGCAATTTTTGAAAGATAAGTCTGTGTTGAGAAAAAATTGGTCTTAATTTTTCTCCGATTTTCAGACCGAAATTTGATGATACTGAACTCCAAATTTAAATTACTGATGGCCCCAAATTTAAATTTACTGCTATTTTTACGTTATTTTTGCTATATTTACCTCACATTTTGTCATTTTAAAACTTATTTCATTGCTTGTTACTGAAATAATCAGCCGGAATGTAAGAAGAAAAAGATACGCTGTTTTAGCATTTCTTTGGTTTTAACAATTTTGGTTGATGGGAAAGTTTGTGCTACTTACACAGCCGCCGGCTAATCTTGTTCCAAATTGGCTGTTTTATCAAAAAGTGAATCATTAAAGAGCTTTAATATGATATGTTCATTTTTTGAAACTCGACATCGGAAAATACTCATAAAAAATTATTATTTATTTTTTTTTTTCGATTTCCTCGAGTTGATGAATTTTTTTGTTTTTTTTTTCTGTTGGCTATATTTTGCTTGTTTGTTTGCAGAGTATTTGTGCTAGTCATGGTGGCTGTGAGTGTTGCGTGGGTGCCTATGATTCAGAACATGCAGGGGGGCCAGTTATACGTCTACATACAGAGCATAGCAGCCGATCTCTCCCCACCAGTAGCCGCAGTCTACCTTGTTGCCATTTTCTGGAGGAGGGCAAATGAACAAGTACGATACTCTTCTGTTTGGGGTTACAAAACAAAACAAAATTTTGAAAAACTGAAAGAGCTGAAAAATTGTAAATAAAACTGAAAAATTAAAATAAGATTGAAAATTTGAAAAAATAAGGAAAATTTCATTGAAAAGCATTACGATCGAATTCATTGGTTCAGCGATTTTATTCTGCAGCTTTGGAATTTCGTCAATTACAGCAAGCACATCAGCGTGGAATACGTGCAATCGTCCAAACATTAGTATTTAAATGGTCAATTTAGTGTACATTACCATGATAGAAGTTATAGTTTCTCGCTAAAGCTTTTTCCAGCATATGTGCTCTCAAAACTCCTCTATTTTTTTGAATTTTTTTAACAAAAATATCTTTGACCGGCAACTTGACCGGCAAACTAGAAAATTTACAATTTTTGGACGCTTTGCTCTGTATTTCAATATTAAAATCAGTTTACAATAATGAAAGGTTATACTAATGAACGGTCTGATGGCAATAGTCATAGTAACGGTCTGATTGCAATGATATAGTAACTGTGCAATGATATGCATGCATGTATGTTTTGCTAGGGTGCTTTCTACGGTCTGATGGGTGGCTTCGTAGTTGGACTCAGCCGGATGGTTCTGGACATGATCTACAGGTCTCCCAGTTGTGGAGAGGAAGACACTCGTCCGGAGTGGATTGTCAAGTTCCAGTACATGTACTTTGCCATGTTCCTCTTCATCTTCACCATTCTGGTCATCGTCGTTGTCAGTATCCTCACTGAACCCACGCCCGAGAACAAAGTGAGTTCGCATTGGTTGCTGATGTTTTCGTGGGTATTTTAAAGAAACAGAGTAACTGGTTGCTGATTTTTATTCCGACCACTGAAACCGACGTTTTTATTAACTTAGTCTTCGAGATATTTTATTTTTTTTCCACAAAAAGATCTAATAACACAAATAATCACTAAAATAGGTCGAGAGATTAAAAGTCGATGAAGGTACTTCAGAATCTTATATATGTCTTGATGGTTCTTTTTTTCAGGAAAAGTCTGTTAAAAATGCCAATCATAAATTGCTCCAGATATTCAAAGAGCTTGAGGGCATCTAATTTTTTTTCTTTGAAATTCGAAAGTTGAGATTTTTCTCAAAAAAGAACAATTTTTTCCGTTTACTTGCGTTCATTGATTTTTTTCCATTTGTCTTTGGCTATTTTGTAACATATTACACCTCTTCAATTCAAGACTTTTTTGCTTTTAAGTCTAATTTCGAGTGGAAAACGTTTCTTAGATGAAAGTCGGTTATCTACGCCGTCAAAACTTAGTTTTACTTCACGAAAAAGTTTTTGAAGCTTCATGTAGAGCTTCTTTGTCAAGGCTTCAGACAAATTCAAAAAAAAATTGCCAACAATTTTGGAAACGCCGATCCGAAGTGAGATTCGAATTGGGAGCCGATTGCTGTGCCAGTAGCACAGAATGTTTTAAACCATAGTTATCATTGCAAAAAAAAAGAATCGACTTTTTCAAACATGAAATGACAAACCATAGATTGCACTATTCATTACCCCTGCGATAAGCAAGGGTATTGTAATCGGGTACTAGACTTTTTTTCCCGTAAATAACTTTGTTCACAGGACTCATCAATTCCTGGTGCTACCTTGGTTCATAATGATTTCAAATATCCAAATGTCTCCTGGAAACTTAGCATGGAGGTAAAGAATACACCTGGGACGGGATGGGTTCTGAGTTTGAATCTGACCAGGACCTGTTTTTTTTCAAGCGAAAAATATTCCGGTTCAAAAAATTTTTCATCCCATTATTTGTCTGCTTATGTTTTGTCGGCTTATTTGCCAGATCTAAGAATCTGTTTTTTTTTGCTGTAAGCAAATTTCACTGTAGTTTCTTTAAGTGCTTAAGCTTTTTAAAAATCTGCCCGAATAGAAATTTTAACATTGGTTGTAATTTTACCAACTCGATTTGTATAAATCTCGTTTTTGTTTTCAGTTTGTTTTTTTTTCTTTCGCTGTTTTTAAAATTGACTGAGAGACCCCTTATTGCGTCGTTTGATGACCGAAAACGTTTTTGTGTGCGTATGTGTTCTGACGGGAAGGAAGACTTAACTCAATTTTTTAGTTGTAAGAATTTTTGCTATTTTTTTCGGCTCTTGAAAGGTTTCTGCTGAGGTACTTTCTGTTTTGTTGCCGCTTGATAAGTTTTGTTCCGATGCTAATTATGCATTCTATTGTTTGGGCATATTTTTTCGAAACTATCTTCATTCATTTCGATTGATCTAGTTATTTGTATAGTGATAAAACCTCGATATAAAGCTTAAACATCGAAACTATGATTTTTCGGCTTTCGATTAAGCTCTCGGTTTAGAACTTATTGATCATTTCATTTTGTGTAAAAAGAACTTTTTTGATTTTTAATCCGATTCACGACCAATTAAAATTTTGTATGATACCGCACTTGTGACCCCCTTTAAGCTTCCAGTAAGGTAGTCAAATTTCGTCGGGAAAAAACACATCACGCCATAGTCCTTTCCCACTTCGTTAAGTGGTCGGAACAAAGAGTCACCTCTCTCTTAACGATGAACAATAATTATGGCCCCCTTATTGCAAGGAGAGTTAGTTCGTTACTAGGTTAGTTCGTTTGTTAGATGCTATAGGTGGGGGGGGGGGGCTGGGGTTTAGTTGAAGAGATCCTATCTTATTTCTATAGATAATCCGGACGACGTACTGGACGAGGCTGGACACAGGACCTAGATTTGATGAAGATCCAGTGGGAAACTTGAACAAGATAGAGCTGTCCAGAAGGGAGTCTGTGAGCGTAGACCCGGCAGAGATGGCAGATGAAGAAATGGGCCAAAAAGTTACAAACAACTCGTCACAATTCATGGATAATGGTGCCCAAGGTTAGTTTCAGTGCGTACGTGCTATAAACATTTCCTGTTGGGGCATGCATGCATTTGCTGTTAGGGGTTTTTCTGAATAATGCTTTGAAATCAATAGTTTGAACAAATCGAATAAGTGACTCATTTATTTCGAAAGCAGTAAGCTCAACATTATGAAAATCAATTAAATTTTTTTAGATTTAATGAACGCACAGACTGATTGGTTGGTTGAAAAGTAAAATAAAAAAATCGATCGTTCTTTTTTAGTCGTACACCAAAATGGGTTCAAGAAGCCATCAAACGAGGACCGCGAAGTGAACAAGGCGAAGAAACTTTGCATGTTTATTCTGGGAATAGACTACAAAGAAGCTTCAAGCACAACCACTGCCTCCGATCGTCTCAAAAACCAGAAGACGGCTGAACAGATTAAAGCCATCAACACCGCTGAACAAAAACCGCGTGATAAAATCATCCTGAACGTGCTACTCGTCGTCATAGTCGGGGTTGCAGTGGCTCTTTACTTATTTTTCAGTGTCGGAACCCGATATCTGTACCCCCCACCTTCGTCTTCGGGGACAACGCAATAGCGCAATGCTTTTTCTTTTCTCGTCGCAAGACTCTTTTCTAGCGACTGTCGGAAACCAGCCAATACCGAGTTTCTCACTGGATAAGCAGAATTTATTTCTGCTGTGGAAACAGTTGATAAAGCGTACTTATTTTGTGGTCTCGGTATGGCAAGTGGACTAAACTTTCCAGAAAAGTTTTCTAGCAAATTCAGCGTGTTCGGACATTTTTTGATGCAGTTACTGGGGGGGGGGGGGGAGGGGGGGGGGATAAGCTGAAACATTCAACAACAAAAAATCAAACATTTGAAATCGACTTTCAACAATATCTCAGATTTTATGCAATAGACTGTCAAATCACAAAGCATATGCTGAATGCGACCTTTTCTGGAACCTTAAGTCTACTCACTTTGATATATTCCTATCATGTTTTGATTCCCTCTAATCTTGATAGCCAGTTTACTAGCAATCATTAAACCCTTCAAAATCTGATTTATTCTTTTATACTTACCAAGTTTTTGTATAATATATTTTCAAATAATCGGAAAATGGGCAGATGTTGCCAACATTTTCTCTAGTTCCTAGCGCAGTTAAAAATTTGAAAAGCCATTAGATTTATCATTCTTGTTTTTTCTTACTTAAGTGGGCGGAGGGGGGTTTGCAAACAAATCAGACTCCACGGTTGTTCATGGGTATTTTTTGTATGTTTACTTTCAAAATTTCCTAGATAATGCTGAAAATGAAATAGATCTACCCATTTAAAAAATATATGTAAGTAAGAATAGCACTATTAATGGTAATTCGCTTTTAAGGAAATTCTGGAAAAATTGAAAGATTCTTTTCAGGGGCGGATCTAGGATTTTCTCGAGGGGGGGGGGGGGGGGGCGGATTTTCAAAAAATTTTAGAAAATTTTGTCGACCTTTTTTTTAGGTCGACCCAATTGATTTTTCGAACTCTCCCTAAGCACGGTTTAGTCCCTGTTTAGGCCAAATTTTTTGCGACGCAGGCAAAATTTTCAAAAAACAGTCCAAAAAAAGCGTCTTTAGGCACTTTTTGGAAAATTTTGACCAAAAAATCGCGTTTTTTTGGGCCCAAAATGGATTTCTTATAAAGGGGTAATAAAGTACCAAAGGGTGGTATTTAGTTCTCCTAAGTTCGATAAATGAAATGTTTTTTTTTCGATGACATTGAGTTCAGTGACATTTTCCAGCTTTCCGTCGGCTCTGATATTTATATCCGTCCTCTGCAATATGATTAAAACTGGCTGTTCTTATTGTTTCGACTTCCTATGTGAGCGTCTGAGCGGAATTTTTTGTTGCGTTAATAGACGACAAGCATCTCATTTTGTACTTGGCTCAGCGTCTGAAAGGAAAACTCGGCTATCTTCACCAGGGTTTTTGTGATAGTTTTGCTTGTATGTGCGAAGTGCAACTGTGGAAAATAGATCGTGGTAAGAGATGGAGGGTTTTTACTTTAGTAGGAAACAATATGGAAAATGGATAATTTTTTTGCTGCAACTTAAAAATTACGAACAATTCTAAGAACGCAAAGAAAAGACCCTTAAAGTGAGTAAAATGTGAACAGTAAAAGAAACTTTGAAGACTATTACCAATAAGTTTGTGAAATAAAGTTGACTCAATGGATTTCACAACCTGAAGATCGCCGTGAAAGATAGGAACCTCCTGGCAAATTACTCCATCTACCTATTGGAGGGTTTGGGGAAAGAAATTATAAAGGACTTTGATCGGTTTTAATGCTACCGCTTTTGGCAATTTCAATCGAATAGCGATTGAATCGATGATGATAGCAAATACTTTGTTTCAAATCATGGGCTTTTGTTTGACCGATATTTTTGATGGTAATTACATCAATGCAACTTAGAGAATCAATGCAATTTACAGAACTGGTTCGTTCAAGTCGACCTCGAAACCTTCCATTTAATTACTGGTTCAAACTCTAATATTGAAATCAACTGAAGGAATATGATGTATCGTTACCTTGCATATGCTTTCCAGTAAACTCAATTTTGTAAGCGGTCTATAAGTTCGATTTTGCTTTTTTTCATCGTTTAGCACAAACAAACTACCTCATTTCATTTGCTTTGGCGTTTGAAGACCCTCCGAATTTCCTCCATTTCCACGTCCTGTATGAATTGTACTTGTGAAGGCCATTTAACTCAACCAAGTCTCAAAGATACATGTCTCAAATCATGGAGAATTGGTACATCCAATTTTTCAATTCGTTTAAAGCAGTTCTAGCATGAAGTTAAAATATCGCGACTGATCATTATTCTCAAATAACTACTAGACCGGTTTGTCTTCGAATATTTTATCTTCAATAAACGATCTTCAATAATTATTTTTATCGTTTGCAGCATTTTGACACTCGAATTGAAAGTTTCAAAAAATAGACTGCTACAACATTGTATTTGAACAGCTATGATTAAGTGTTAATTGCGATGCATTGATTACCATGCGCAACATAGTTTTTTCTAGCTCTTAACGACTTTTTAAAATCAGTTTTTGAATTAAGTCGTGATTGACGCACCCTTGTTTAATTAAAAGGCCTAATTTGAGATTTCATAATCATTATCACATTCCAAAGTCAGTATAATCATTATCGATTTGGATTCTCTATTAAATAAAGTTGATAATCTAATTTTTTTGTTCGAAATGGTTGATTTTTCTATTGGTTTTAATATTTCTGTGTACATTAGCAGGTTTGGAGTTAATCTGTATGGTCAAACAAGGACGTGAGGATGATAAGCAGGTTGTTAAATTTTCAGATCACATCAATCTAAGTTCAGCAATTTAAAAATGTGAAAAATTGAAAAAAAAAATAATAGGATAAATTTATTGTTCCTACCATTGATAATGGGGAGGAACTTAGTATTCGGTGATTTAGTTTTTTTAGGCAAAATCAGGTACCACAAATAATCATGGACTGGGTTGAGTGATATATAATATTGAAGCCCTTACAGTCGTGATTCGAACCACATTTAAAAATTTCAAAAAATTTTTCCGTGTCGAAGAAAACCGGTTTGAAATTTTTGATTTTTCGTCTTTTTTCGAGCGAACAGTCTTATGTTAACTGCTTTAAAAATTACAATAGCTTTTTTTTCGTTTTTCAAGTTAGTTTTCTGCAAAAATTGTTTTTCAATTGACTTATTTTACTATGACTGTCGAATATACCTAATTTCCTGTTTTTTTTCAGCTCCTTTTATCAAAATTTTTTAAGACAATGGTGGAACATTCTGTGCTACTTGCACAGTAACCGGCTATCGTTGTTTGTACATGATTTCTTTCTACTGTATTGTTTTTTCTCTGCGGTGAAGGTTTCATTAGAAAATACTCTGCACAATGAGATGATTATGCTCTTATTAACGTAAAAAATGCGGAGTGTTTATGTAGTAAATTTATTTCTGCCATGGATTCTTACGTGTTAATTGGTCAGAAAAACGGGAAAAATTCAGGCCACTTTTTCTCGACACTGACAGCTTCGATTTTTTTTACTCCAAATTACGACCAATAAGGCTTAATTAAGATATCATACTTGATCCATGTGCGAGTTTTTTTTGAGGTACCTAAAATTGGTCGAAAAAACCAACCCTACCCATCGTTCTTTCGCGTCACTTTCAGTGACTTGGTCACAACAAACAATATTTGCCTCAGTTGTCTTCGCCAGAAAGGTTTAGGTGTTTTCTCTGAAATCTGACGTGCAACACAAAGGAGCTACACGTGAATAAGAAGACACTACTTGAGTGTTTTCACATCGTTGTTTAATAGATTAAAATTATGCAGCCTAGAGCTACTTATCACAAGTGCGTCCAAAAACGCCACCTTTGAGGCGTTTTTTGTGACAAAACGTAATTGCTATGCTTAGATGTTTGAAGCCGATCTAGCAGTTTGTCTTGGGTAATATGATATAATTTAAAATATGAAGTTTAATGCTCCAAAATCCTAACAAAAATTCGATATGAAGTTTATCAAAACCTCACCGTACTAAATAGGTGGTGAAGTAGAAGAAAAAAGTTGGCGATATCTTTGAAATATTCCAAATCTTTTTTTGTTTGGTGTAAAATATATTTGACTGTGTTCCATAATTGAAAAAATGCTGTGTAATGGAATGGAATCATTTCAAGAGGGAATCAAAAAATTTGGCTCCGTGCAGTTTGGCTTGACTGGTCGTCATTCTTTGTAAATAAAGCGTTGTAAATTGCTGATTTGTATAATTTAAGCTGTGAAAAATCTATTTTGAATTCTCAAATTTAACAATTTTAAGATTTGTTTTTCAATCAACCCACAGTCATCTTGAAGAAGACATGCTCAGTTTCTGAATGGTTCATCTCATTCAAAAGTTTTGCTTTAATTTTTATGGTTATGGATTGCACGTTATAATTAAAGCGAGCTACAAAAATCAAGTTTGCATACGAAAAGTACTGAAGCCTCTTTCATTCCGTCTCCGGCCCACTTGATCTGGACGTAACGAATACGCCTTGGACGGCAAAGGTCTTGGGTTCGAAGCTTACAGAACTTGTTTTTTTTTTCAAACGGGAATTATTCCGTTCCAAAAAAAATAGTCTGCATATTATTTCTCTGCTCATGTTTTATCGCCTAAGTTGCCACATTACAAAATTTTTTTGCTGTACGCAAGTTACATTGTAATAATTTATAGTGTTTTGATTTTTTTCTGCCATTTGTAATTTTACTTACCTTGAATGCGTATATTTTCTTTTTTTCAATATTATTTTCCGCGTATATGTTCTGCTCAAATAATTTCGGCTTTTTCTAATCGTTTTATTGGCAAATTTTTGAGTAGACTCAAGGAAAACAGAACATTTTTTTAATTTTCCTCTCTGGATCGTACATGCTAAAAATCTTAATAGAATTTATAATTTTTCGACAACATTTTTTTTTCGTCTTTTATCTTTCCTTTTTGTTCGGCTTGATAAGTTTCGGCCTCGTAAATCGGCTGAAGTACCTCATATTGCGTCTTGCGAAAAATGTCTTCATATGCGTGTGTGTGTGTGTGTGCTTTGAGGGCAAGGGGGACTTATAACTCTTTGTGAGTCGTAATTGCTTGAACCTGTTCACGGTTTTTTTTGGCTTCATAGGTTTCGGCCTATTTTATATCGGCTTTCTGGCCTCATTTTGTTTCATTTGACGAGCAGCTAAGCTTTTTTGTGTGTTGAGGGTGAGTGTGATTCATTTTGATAGGTAGTTTTTTTGACATTTTCCATGTTTTTCC